GCAAACTTTGAAAAGTAGGGTCAAATTGGTAGTTAGGATCCAAAACGGGGTCAAATAAGCAATAGCCCCTAAAAAAACAGTTTCATCTATCATAAGCTTGAAGGTGACCATAACACTGCTTGAAGATTACTAGTACATATGATCCATATCTAAAATCACTCACCCTTGTGTTCCACTTGTGTTTGGGGAGCCTGTTTTAATTATCAACGAGTGGTCCACTCATTTATTACATACTAACTAATAAATGGTTATGTTTTTTTAAAAAATAATGTAGATCAAATGATCAATATGTATTTCATCACTCTGCATATTACATGTTAAAATTTGACTTCTACAAGTTTAAAAAAACAACAAATTCAACTACAGATATACTCATTTATTTAGATTCTAGAGATAAATCTGGACACATATTTATCGAGATTCATCTTTAGAATTGGATTTTTTTGACAGAGAATGTATCAAATTTGACATTTACAAGTTATAACAAAAATAATAAAATAAGTTCTAAAATCTATATGTACTCTCTTCATCTTAGAAAAAAATCTATATGTTCAGAAATATCTCTAGGATTGGGTGTTTTGTTTGGGACATTTAACCAGTTAGGAGCCTTTGGGCCTGTCTAGGAGAGCTTCTAACTGCTGCAGCTTCTCCCAGAATCAAAAGCTCCCCCAAACAGTCTAGCTTTTGATTCAGATCCTGAGAAACTGTAGTTGTAGAATTCAGAAAATAAACTAGAAGCCAGAAGCTAGGAAACCCAGCTTTCCAGATTCTGAGAAGCTGGCTACCAACCAGCTGCTTCTCAGAATTTTAAACTCCACTAAACAGACGTTTTATTTCTTTTGCAAGGGTGAAGGAACAACTTACGGAAAGACACCCATCTACATTAATGATACTATTGTTTAGATTGACAGAGGTTATTAATAGCCACCCATCTAACGAGAGGTTGAAGCCCTCCTATGAATCAAGAAGAGCTTAAACATCTAAAATGGGACACACACACATCTATATCCCTATCTCCACTATTCAAAAGGTGCGTGGATGCATCGCTTGTGTTGATAATTAATGGACGAACAACACGCACGTCGATGTCGAAAGGGCGAACAGCACGACGGCCAGTAGCGGATCTACAAGTTCCCTTGACGGCTGCTGGTGTCGTAGCCTCCACAAAAAGAAGTAAATAAATTAGACAATTATTAAGTGATAATACATTGGTTAATGCGGTGGAGCCTGGGCACCTGCCTGTGGTGGCCGCCACTGAGGAACGGACGATGAGAGCAGCATGATTAGAGCAGATACAATAGTAGACTATTAGCCAATTATAAACATATTTTAATGATATGAAAGATGAAAGAGAAGAGCAGCGGTCTACAGATCTATAGCCAACTACAACACGGACTACAAGATGCAGTGTGTGTATCGCAGGTGGGACCATATATTAATAGTATAGTAAGTAAGTAACTATCTATCTATCTATCTATCTATCTATACCTATACTAATTGGGCACTTTTTAGGAGCTCTCACGTTAACCAGAAAAATCTGACCGTTGATTAGATTAATCTCATTATGATGACCGTAGATAAAAGATCTCACCTAATGGGCCAATTTCGAAGGCCCAATCAATCTGAATACCAATATCAATTATGTGATACGATCTCATCTCTTTTTTTAGGGATTCGGATCAGGTGAAATTGCTATTGTTACTGCAACTTTAGCAGTAGCACCTGATCTGACCATCCACGAAGCATCCGACGTCTACGAATCAACAACCCTTTAGTCCTCTCCATCTCCGGTGGGCTTCAAGAGTGGAGCGGTGGAGGCGGCACCAGAGCGTGGTCACCAACAAGACGGAGGTATCAGCGGGTGAGAAGGGTTCAAGGCCAGGAATTGTGCTGCTTAGCTTTGTTACTTGCCTGATGCTCGTGGTTTGGCGGTGATTTGGACTGGTAGCTAGGTGTAGGATCGAACGAGGAGGATGCGAGGTTGGCTTGGTCTGCTCGCAGGTTAATTACTGCCTTGGCGTTTGACAGTGACAGTGCAGATTATCACTTTATGGGAGTTCACAGAAGAACATCATGATGAAGCACGAAAAATAGAATCTGCTTGACCGGTTAAACACTGTCACAACAATGGTTTGTACGAAGGTCCCGTAGTTGTCAACTTGTCATGAAGTAAGAAGAAGCACCGAGCACTTCCATTGACATGGAGAAGAAAGAGAGCTCTACCGCTCAAGGAAGAAGATGACCTTTTGGGTGCTAGCTGGTGCAGTGGTGTGAGCCAGCCGTCTGATTTTTTTTGAACGGTTCAGATTGGCTACTGCCAAAGTTGCAGTCTCTATAGGGACTGCACCTGATCCCGATCCTTGTTTAGATATGATAGGTTCTCATCTATATGTACGTATATACTCTCTCGATTTTCATGTGTTCCTCGATTCATGCCACGACGGGACGAGCGTTGGGCCGGGCCGCGGCCATGTCGTCGATGTTGAGGCGTCGACCTCCTTGGAGTTCGCCTGTTGCTCGGTAACGCTCCGTGTCGAGAACCGCTTCAAAGCGCAATCAAGCAAAAAGAGAGGCAAAGATAGGACGCACATGACATCACGATCTCGATCGGGACCTATCCGACCAGTTTCTGGAGTCAGTCAAAGCTTCAATTGGTACTTTTAATTTTTAATTAGTTGGTTCTTTACATGTTCCTGATCTGAAAAGTGGTTAACATGCAGAGTATCGATCTGGATTGATAACGCTCTTCGGCGGAGATGCCACAGCATGACGTTCGTCTATGCATCTAATCTAACCTGTTTTGGTGTTGCATGGCTCATGCATGTTGGCCTGGTTTGCACATACCGCAGCGGCACAGCCATCAACCATCAGTAGACGATTATTGAGCAGCACGATCTAATGCCAAAGGGCCAGACCTTCAAGTACGAAGTAAGCACGATCTAATGTTTTTTTTTTCTAATCTTTACGTTTTGATGACTCTATGTACTGCTTGATTGTATCTCCTAAAGCTATGTTTCAATCAGCCTCATTCTTTCCACGCTAATTAATACTACAGCAAATATACCAACATCGGCTATTCACTTTTAGTTGTAATGTAAGTAAAGAGCAACACTCAGGAGTTATTTTACACTAACAACAATGTAATATGTGGAGATTAATCAAGTGCAGGCAGACAACGGCAATAGTTTCAGAATTGTTAAATCATGAAAAGATATAATCCGGACTCCAAAGTGAGTGCACCACGCTAATTATTAATTATGAATTTCAAAATGATTAAATCATTAATAATTAAAATTAAAACTAGAATCTTTGTGCAACATTTGGAATTACTGAATCATGAAAAGAAATTCAGACTCCAGACCTAATACAATTTGGTACAAATACTTATTAATTCATCTTTTTAAAAATCATGAGTATAACAATAGGACAAACTAGCAGTTACAATATTCAAATTTTGAATTGTTAAATTGAGAACCTCGAAGTACCAGAATATATATATATATATATATATATATAAAATAAGAGCAATGCTACACGTACTAAATTTTTCTTACTAAACTTTTACTAACAATCATCTCAACCGTTTGATTTAAGTAGATGGAAGTTACAAAAAATCTAGATGCACTCATAGCATGACATAGCATGACACATCAGTGTTAGTAAGAATAGAAAAAGTTAGTACATATAGCCTTTTCTATATAATAACCCATGCACTTCACGGTTCGGCACCATGATAAATTGATACATAATATAAAAAAAATTCAGGTCAATAAGTTCAGGCCATTAATAGTACAAAAGATCAGTACTGATCTACATTGCACAATTTTCATCCGTAGTAGAATATCATCCAGTTAACAATGACAAAAAAACTGAGCTTTTCAAACGATATCAAAGTTCAGAACATCAAGACTAGAGAAGCAAAACTAAAACATACCTTTTTTATTAAATGCACTGGTGCTTTTTTGCAACAGAATGAATTAGGATTTTTTTTCAATAGAATGAGTAGCAAAACATACCCCCTATCCGGTATGTTTCAGATCACTGCAGTTCGTACAGTTAAATAATTAAAACTTATTGCCTATCACAATAACATTTTTAATAAACTATATATATAATTGTAAGAGTGTTGCTCTTGACACAATAAGGTTGTAAAACAACTTTATTAATTATTAATTATGTATATATGTAACTCATACCAATATAATGACTGTAGATATGTACCAAAGAATTTGTGTTAAATAAAACATCAAACTAGAAGAATTTGTGTTAAATAAAACATCAAACTAGAAGTACCAAGGATTGTTTAGTTCTAATTTTTATAGAATTTAATAATTTTAGAATTCAAAATTAATGAATATGACATCAGACCTTTAGTACTTGATTAACATAATTAAAAAAACTAAATTAATAATTACAAAACATCCAATTCCATGATCACAATTTTAATATTTATTGCATCAGGTAGTAATAGCCCGTGCAACGGGTTGGCGACTAGTTGTATGAATTGGCTATTAGATTTGCTATAGGTGAATTGGAGCTAATAATGGGCTATACTATTAAACTTATTAAACTTGCTCTTAGAGCGGCCGAATACGTTGGGCATAGTGATACGCTACGGGAAACAATTCAAAATTTCTCTACAGATTGCTCTTCATGCTTCCAGATTCGTGAGGTAGTAATAGATAGATAGATTTGTCACACGTTCGTGAGCTTAATAATCTAAACATATATTTGAACTCCAGATTAAAAAAAAACGAATTTTGAACTAGCAATTTTTCTGATATTTATATACCATTGCACCGTTTTGGTATGCGGTTTAGCTAGTTCTCGCTAAACGATCTATCACGTCCGTTTTCGTTTGATTCACCTTTTTTTCCTTTCTCCTCTTTTCTTTATTTCGTCTTCTTTCCCATCCACTATCCACCAATTGCAAGTACCCCACTAAAGTAGGATTATACTTAACCCCTAAGCAAAACCTCTGCTATAAATTTCGCCCCTCACTCACTAAGGTTTGGTCGCTCTCTTGCAGTGGCAGCGCCGCACTGCTTAGCTAGCTTTGCTCTCGTGCAGTCGTCTTCCTTCCTCTACTGGTTCTACATCTTCTACTCATCAACCAAACCCTGCAAGAGTTTTCAAGTCGTTAATTACTCTTGTTAATTAAGAGTTGTCCCCGGAGCAAATCAATCAAGTAACCAAGTAATTAATTACTTACGTTCTCTCCGAATTGATAATACTTATCGTTTTGGAGCGGTATTTTGTCTGACGGATCGGAGGTGGCTGGGTGATGGAGGAGGGGAAGCGGAAGCGGGAGGAGTACTCAGACTCCGAGCAGCGCTCGCGGTCGCGCGCGCGCAGGCGGCGGCGGCTGGCGGCGCAGGCGGCCGCGCTGCGGTCCGAGAACGGCGCCGTGGAGGTGGCCGCGCGCGAGGCCGTGGGCCGGTGCGCCGCCGTGGACGCCGAGAACGAGCTGCTCCGCGCGCGCGAGGCCGAGCTCGCCGCGCGCCTGCGTTCTCTCATCGACCTGCAGCAGGCACAGCGCATGCATGAGGCGACGCCCTCTTCGCCGCCGCCGCCGCCGCGGCCGTCGACCTCTGTCGATTTGAATCATTCGATCAAGAATAAGTAGATGGCTCAGGTTATCGATGTATCGATCGTGCCAGGGTTTGCAATTCTCATCTTGGAGGTTATTGCCACTCGCCACCCCATTTGTATGGATGATTACCGCGGTACGTAACGTAACTGCGTCTAGGGTACTGACAAAAATCAAACAAAAATTTACTAATCGAAATTTCAATTCGAACGGCGAGACCAATAGGATTGGAAACGGTGACCGATCGGGAAAAAAAATTATATATCAAGGGTGTTTGCGCAATGTGTCGATTTTATCGAGTCAAATGTTTTGAATTATCAGATATCAGGAAATTAGAAGAAAATGAAGAAACATCTACAAAAATGCGTGGGGATTTTGGATAATTATATGGAAAAATATCTCTATAACTGTAAAAGGCCACAATTATTGGCCTTTCAACACCTACCACAACGCAGCGCACGTTTCAAAAATATCGTGAGAAAGAGAAAAAATAAATTATACTTCAGGTACATGAACTTGCGTGACGGGTATGAATAAGTACAATAACGTCTTTTAAAAGCACACATTCAACATTTTACTTTTTTTTTTTTACAATTTTGAGCATCGGGGTGCTTAGATTTGGCACAAGAATAGATCCAACACCCACAACCACATTATGGAGGAGAGGGTTTGTTAGTGAGAGCCTGAGAGGACAGATGTACTCTAGTAACCCAAGCCATCCGACCCCATGATAGTGCTGCTCATCGGTCCGTTTGATCATTTGGGACCGTATATATTGAATGATAAGCGCTTTATTACCTTCTGGATTTTCATGCATTTATTCTTCTAAATACTAGAGTTTCAAAAGGATCTTTCAATGAATTTTGTTTTTTTTTCCAAAGGTCGGGACGAATCAATTAGGACGGTAGTATATTATGGTCAATATTTTTTTTATAAAGCTTAGTGTCGAAACTAGATTTCGGCAATAATAAAAGGGGTGGCTATCAAGCTGGAGAAGTGAATGGGTTTGGAGACAAAGGATTTATACAGGTTCATGCCTTCTCATTCAAGAAGTAATACCCTACTCCTGTCCGGGGATGAATCCGCCGAGTATCTTATTGATTGTATGATTTGGAGAAAATCAACACATGCCCCTAGAGGCACCCGGACCCCCCTTATATATGGGAAGGAGTCCGTGTTACAAAAGATAATCTATATCCCTAACGGAATATGCAGATACAGATAAAATACAGTCGTAACCGACTAAGTCTCAAGGTATTTCCTTGATGTACAAGTTGAGAAACAAACCCGAGATACAAATAAGATATTCTATCTATATTCGGTATCCTATATTCAGTCCAAATATCATCGCCGTGTAGATATGGGATATCCATAATCTCCACAGTAGCCCCCGAGACCTTTGCAGTCAACCATCATAGCCTTCACAAAGATAATAATCCGAGTGCTTCAAACTTTTCATGCCAAGGCCTGCCGAGTAGCGAAGACGAAGACTGTAAAGGGCGAAAAGATAAAGAATATGGTGCATCGAATAGATGCACCTAATTAGGTGTAGCCCCCAACTATGTGATTAGTTAACAAACTAAACATATAGTTGAGAACAAAATAATAGCACAATCGTGCATCATATGACAAAAGCATACACGGCGCCTAAAGAAGCATTCTTAGCCGACTGCTTTTTAGCCATAATTAAAAGGAATCCGAGTGGTTAACACTCTAAAAGGTTCACGAATGAACACACTTGACAGGCATCCGAATAGAAAACTCTAAAGATTACCCACCAAATATTATAAAAATTATGGTAATGAATAAGTCTAATAGCCTAGGCTATGACTATTTACCATAATGAAAACAGGCATATAACATACCAAGGAAATGACTATGGTAAAAACAAGTCATTCCAAGTTAACCCAGACAGCTTTTGTAGCCTAAAAAAGCTTACAAAAACAGCATAACACCTTTCTGTCGGGCACCTTTTAATTTGCATTGCAATAATTCCAAAGAATTATATGACCGCGTAAAAAGGATTTTATCAGCATTGGGCAACACTATTGTGCGCATAAATTGCCAAAGCAAAAAATGCCTAAGTCCCTAAGGAGCACAATGGGCCACGCTGTTAAAAGTACTGGGCTGAGGTACTGTTCAGGCCTAAGCCCATTCGCACCTCCGATACCCTTAACAAGAAATCCCGAGATCCAAGCGACACTTCATCTTCCCCGCCGGAACTCTCGCCATTTTCCCCACTCCCTGCTACAGTACAGAGCTGCGCCGGCAAACTAGGGTTCACCATTCCACTCGAATCCACCTTCGAAAAGTTCATCAAAATCCTTCCCGTGATCTACCGCCTCAATCCCTCACCTCTCCCTAGCCATCCCTCGAATCAAATCAGCGCATTTGGAAAAAATCAATGGCGGAAGAGAAGGAAAGCTTTGAAGGCCAATGGGCGCCATCCGACGTGACGGAGGAGAACCTGAAGGAGATGGTGGCGCACGGCGTTCTCCCTGCCAAGGAAATCATCGGGTGGCGGCCAGCGTGCGGTGAGGCTTTTCCGACCCCCGATACACACGAGGCTGTGGTCTTCTCCCATTTCTTCTATGGCGGCTTCGCTCTTCTGACCTCAAAATTTTTCCGCGGGATATTAAGCTTCTATGGAATCAGCTTGCATCACCTAAACCCAAATTCCATAGTTCACATCGCCAATTTCGTCCATGTTTGTGAAGCCTTCTTGGGAATTAAGCCCCACTTCGCTCTGTTTCGCCGAATCTTCTTTCTCAAGCCCCAACTAAACAAGAGTAAGCCATGTGTAGTCGGAGGGGCCGGATTTCAGCTGAGGGGGACTCTGAGCCAGAAGTACTTCTCTATGCCCTTTAAGACCTCAAACAAAGGGTGGCATGCAAACTGGTTTTATATTCAGAATCCTGAGCCTGCTCTTCCCGAGTACTCTTGTCTTCCTCCGGTGTACCAAGATACCTGGAACTCTCTTCCGATTGGGGATGAAGCAGCCCAAGCCTTGGAGCTGATGGATCGCATGCTAAAACTCAAAGAACAAGGCTTACAAGGAGAGCAGATTACTCGGCACTTCATCAAATGCCGATTGGCACCAATTAAAGAAAGATCCCGTACGGCATTCGAGTTTGACGGCAAGCATGATCCTAATCGTGAAGAACCAGATTCTCTGGATTTTAAAATCATGAAGGAGAGAATGTGTAAAATCTTCTCAAATGCTATTGTCGTCAGCTACTCACATCAGCTGCCAGTTGTGCCATATAACGCATTCAATCCGCCTCCGCAGGTACGTATCCGAAATCTTCAACCCATGACCAAAACATAATCTTGTCTTCATGTTGAGTTAACTAACCGTGGAGGCATCTCATTCAGGAATATGTATTGATGAAGTCTGACCCCCCAATCACTCAGCGCCGGTCTCCTCGCCAGCACACCGTTCAGGGAGGTGGAGGGCCGACAATCAGATCAGATCCGCAACCTCAAACCTCCAATCCGACTGGGCAGACAGGTTCTCGCAAGAGAAAGCTGGTGCTTAATGACGACGAAGGCGACGACGGCAACAAATCTGGGGACAAAGGCTCGCCCAATAAACTCCCAAAGCATACCACTCCCAGGAAAAAACTGGCTAGTCGTCCAAGGCCAAAGATTAGAACATCTTCCAGGTATAAACCTCTTGGTACCATTTCACTTCGACATGCTTCTCTCATGGAAATAATACTGAATATTGAAAGAACACTTTGCAGGAAACCATCCGACATAGATCCAACTGGAAAAGATCCTGATCCGACTGTGACAGAACCAAGTTCATCCAAGGATTCTGAGCCGACTGCCGAAAGCCAGCCGACTGGCGCCCATACTTCAGGTGATAAGGCCAATCCGAGTGACCAGCCTCCGACTGGAAACCAGTCGGCAGCAACTGAAACTACAACAACCCAAGAGCCCCCGACTGGAAACCAGTCGGATGTAGGTCCAGATCAAGAAACTCCCGAAGTTGAAACGCAGACGACAACTTCTCAAGGACCAGAGGCTGGTAACGACTCGATGATTGGGTCTCCAGATAAAGAACAAGGATCACCCCACGCTCAGCTAGGAACACCCTCAAGTAACTCATCTTCTCAAGTGATGCCGATTTAAATAACTTCAGCTTATTCGTCTAATATCTTGGAAATACATCAGGACCACCAGGCGATGACGAAGAAGAAATTCCTCGCATAAAGGCGGCTGATGACTCTCGTCCTCCTATCTTGCTCAAATGGTGGGACGAGAACTCATAAGCTGCCGGCATCGTCATAAATCGTCAAAAAGAAGATGAGGAAGTGTGCCAGCTGAAGAAGGCACTTGGAGAAGCCACTCGCATTGTGAATGTAAATCTTCCGGGTGACTGCCTTTGATGACTTTGTTTTCTCTTCAGCAAAACTAAACCATGAACCATCATGCAGAGAATCCATCTTCGCAATGAGGCCAAGACCGCAACTTTAGAAAAGCTGGTTCCTCATTTGGGAACTCTTGAAGCAGTTAGGGACCAGCTACACGAGGCCAAGGAGCTCGCCAAAAAGACAGAGAAGGAATTAAGGGACCGAATTGCTCAGCTCCAGGATTCAAACTTCGAGCTGAGTGGTTCATCAAAAGGTAATCTCTAGATCTGTCCCATTAATTTACGCTGTCGTAACTGTATCCTCAACCATTTGGATTTCAAACAGCGCAAGCCGCCAGGATGGCTCAAATGGAGAAACAAATTGAAGCCCTGGAAAGAGACAAGGTAGAACTGGCTGCGCAAAGGGACTCGGCCTTGAAGGAGGTTGAAGGTACTGCCAGCTGACAATCTGAACTTCTCTCTTTTTAATGCAGTAGATTTTTATCATAAATGTGTTTTGTAGACCGCAAAATCAAATCTCAAGCTCAATTTGACGTCCTGGTTGGTAAGATCAAGAGGCTTGAAGGAGCAAGAGATGAAGTCGCTAATGTCGCTACACCACTCGTCCAAGCTATGTTCCTCAATAACAGTGGTCCGAGTGCACTCGACGCAACCGAAATCTTCGACAAGCTGAGAGTTGCTCCGGATGTATATTTCAAGAATATCAAGAAAGCTGAAAGTATGGGAGCTAGCACGGCATTGGCGATGACCAAATCCTTGTACCCGAGGATTGAAATTGACGCCATTGATGGCTTTGCAGACGGGACAAGCGTAGAGGCTGCTCTTGATCTTATCAGCAATGCTCAAAATGCGGCTGACAAGATCGCAAGTGACGTCGTAGATCAATTTCGCAACACCGACCTTCAGCCGAGTAGTAATAACTCTGATGATGAAAGGACTGATTCTGACTGAGCATAAATGTAGCAAATGGAGGCATAACTTGTAC